AATTACACACACACACACACATCTAATTTAGTTTGTATTAGCTCTTATCATTGCTCTTAAAACTTTTAACTATATATATATTTCTAATTTCTAATTTAGTTTGTATTAGCTGTTATCATTCATATATATATGAAGACAACTCCTGATGCCTAGCCTGAACCTTCGTTGGTTCTGGTCCTGTCTTTTGGGGCAATAGAGAATAAATCAACTCCATCTTCGGTCTGACATACTTTCATATATCTGAAGACTGATATCATCTTTCCTCTTAGTCTTTTCTTCTGCAGGTTGAACAACCCCAGCTCTTTTAACTATTCCTGGTTGGGCTTGGTTTCTAGACCCTTCACCACTTTGGTTTCAAAACCCTTCACCAACTTGAGAACCCTTCATAGATTAAATTGCCCTACACCCAGATTGGTCAAGAGGTTGGCAGAGCACTTTTTGGGGACTGGGAGGACCAAGGGCCACCGAAGGCAGGATAAGGCAAAGCGGGTGGGACTGAGTTGATGTCTGGAGCTTCTTTTAGACTCACACTATCATTTTTGCTGTTTCCTGGCTCAAACCCCACTGAAATTCAGCCATGCTATCAGAGAGGTTTTTGGGGAGGAAAGGTGGTTGTTGGTGACTGGTTACTCACCCCAGTGCCCAAATTTCCAGGCACTGCCACAGCAGTCAAGAGCATGAAAAATGGCCAAATTGGCAAAGCAAGCCCCCACAGGATTTCCCCCCCAGATCTTGACACTTTGATCCCAGTATCGGAATTACACTTTATTTTGGTTGGAGAAAACATCCCGATGTTTCTCGATTGCTCATTCCTTTTCTGCTCTTCACAGCCATTGATGAAAGGACCAGTTCTGCTGTGGAATTTTTTCTTCCTGAGGGAGAGGAAGTGTCTGTTGCTGAATTTCCTGAGGTAGGTGGGGTTCTGGAGAAAGTGTTGTATAATTCAGAGGTGGGGTGTCCAGAGTGGAGTAAAAGAAGTCAAGATGGTCAACACAACCTGTAATTGAAGCCCTGACCCTTTTTTATACATATTGATCCTTTTTTATATGTGTTACTTCGATCACAGCTACCATCTAGATCAATGTTTCTCAACCTTGGCAGCATTCAGATGTGTGGACTTCAACTCCCAGAATTCCCCAGAATTCTGGGAGTTGAAGTCCACACATCTGA